GTTACCAAAGGAGACAGAAGCCGTCATGGGTCAGAGGAGTAAGAAGGCACGGCAGTGGTGTGCCTGTTGCAGGGCAGGGAGAGGGACACCCTGAACCGCCCAAACTGCCTGGTATAGTTTCTACCACCCGCCGCATCGAAACATATAAGGCTTTTAATGGAAAAGAACTTTAATGCAGCTAGTGTGCAACACAGAAAAGACAAAGAATATAGTTTCTAAGTCAAACACCCAACGTGACCCATCCCCTCCTGGGTAAAAGTCCACCCAAAGGATTTTTCAGGCCCAAAGAAAGACCGGGAAGCCCGCCACAAGTCTAAAGAACCTTCTGGTGGGGACCCATATTAAAGGGTCAGAAATAGCCAGACAAGTCTGGGAGGAGAAGAGCAAAATCAAAATCAGTATAAATGCGGCCATACTGAGCCTCCCCACAGGGCTCCCACCCACATCTGTTTCAACCAGTCCAGGGCCAAGAGACAAGAGCCACTTCTTCACAGGTCTCTGCTCCCTGTGCCTCCCTCAGGGCTCCTTCTGGCTCCCATCCTGCTTCCTTCCTCTAATCTGAAGGGAGACAGAAGAAGGATGGCAACGATAGCATTTATCTTGATTTTGATGTTGCTCTCTTCCTCCCAGACTCACCTGGCCATTTCTGACCCTTTTCCATGGGTCCCCGCCAGAAAATGCTTTAGACTTGTAGCAGGCTTTTGGGCTTTGCTTTGGGCCAATCCCATCTTGGTGGACTTTTACCCAGGAGGGGATGGGTCACTTTGGGTGCTTGATTTAGAAACTATATTCTTTGTCTTTTCTGTATTGCACATTCATTGTATTAAAGTTCCTTTCCATTCAAGGACTTATATGTGTTATCTTGATGCAGCGGATGGCAGAAACTATTTAGAAAGGGCAGGTTTGGGGTTCAGGGGTTCCCCTCTCACGACTCTGTAACATGACCACTAGCATCATCCCCAGATGCATTTGCAGGTGTCTAAGTCTTCTGTTTTATAAGTGTCAGAGTATCAGGATTATGTCAGCTGCAGTCAATTCAAACTGTATTATGTAAAAAAGATTTGTCCGTTTATGTAACTAAAAAACACAGTGAGAGGCCTTTAGGTTCAGTTTGATCCAGACACTCAAGGAATGTCAGAAAGATGGTCTTCCTCATCATATTGAAGTTCTTTGCTTTCTGTTATGTTTTCATTCTCAAGCAGCTCCGCTCTGCATGAGAGCAGAATCTCCACCCTTAAATCCTCACAAGTGCAAATTCAGTGGGAAAAAAATTTCACTGATTCCAGCAAATGTCTTGGGATTCATCTATATTAGACTAATTTGGTTAATGCGCTCCATTCCCAGCATGGTCAGGGTATTTGGTGTGCAGATTGGCTAGGTCAAGGGTATACTTTCTGCAACCCATGAAAGTTAAGTTCCTCTGAAAACCATGTGCTCTGAGATTGCAGGAATTGTGGTTCCCTGAAGGAGAACATGGGAGGTAGCGCATACTGGGGAGACAAAATTACCAACTGTCCATATCAGTTTCCAACAGGGCACCGGAAAGGCTCTGTCACCAAGCCTGGGGGGCAGCCTAGGTTGCATAGACAAGATGCTGGTTCTGTCCAGGCCCTTGGATCACTGGACTGGATACTCCTTGGTTTCAGCCACACAGAGACAGGGCTGGAGCTGGCATATCTACGTGACTGATGTAATAGCCTCCCAACCATTCTGGCCCCGGGGGCCCCATTTGTGATTTATTGGTAATAGGTCTCATTTAGCTTACTCCCTTGGCTTCCTCCAGCTGTTTTTCTCCCTCTGATATAAAAATAACATTTAAACAGGATCCAAACTCCATGTCCTAGACTAATCAGCATATCCAGTGATGGTAGTTAAATTCACCCTAGGATCAGGGTGCAGGATCTTTATTACACCCAGCTCTATGAGTGAGCCAAGAAGTAGGGTTTCAAGAAATAGGATACCGTGACCAGACACTAAAATCAAACATCCAAAGAGTATTTATTTCCCAACCAAGGCCAGTACCTTTTGATTCTCCCAGCCAGAGAGAGGATGGGTGGGACCAGGCTGGCAGCAAGAGCCTGCAAAGAGCATGGCCAGGACCAGGCAGGGCAGAGAGCTCCTGGTTTACGACTGGAAAATCACTGTGATGTTAATGCTGAAGAGCACTGCCACCTGCCTCCCAGTGGGGCTCTCCTCCTGCCGCCCCCATGAGCTTCCACCAGAAGAGACAGAGCCCCCACCCCAACCGCCCCTGCCTGCCTGCTTGAGGACCCTGGCAGCTGGAGCCAAGGGGGGCTGGATGCAGGGTGGTGAGGAAATAATAACCACCACCTCTGAGCATGCGTTACATGCCAGGCCGTGTTTTATTCCCATTAAGCTTGGCAGTTACGTGTGTGGGCCCTGGGGTCCAGAAGAACTGGGTCGACTCTCAGCTCCATCTCACTAGCTTTGAGATCTTGATGAAGTTACTTAATGTCTTTGTACCTCAATTTTCTCCCATGTGAAATTGTAATGATAAAAGTATTCACCACAAAGGAGTGTGAGGGGTTATACAAGACAGCGCACACCTGTGTTCACAGTGTCTGGAGGGATTACGACACACACACACTCACACACACACGCCATTGCTCAGCCACCCAAGGCTGCGTGGTAAATGGGTTTGCGAGAGAGGTGTGGCTGCTGTGGCAAAGGTCAGATTTGTCAGTGGCTTAAACAAGATAGTTTATTTCTCTTCGTAGCACGCAACAGCAGCTATAATGCTAGGCCAGCCTGTGGAAGTCCTCTCATTTTCCACCACTGGGCTCACCCAACAGCTTCAGCTCCCACCGTATCACCTAGTCGCTAGCAGAATGGGGAACGTCTGCCCCTCCCTTTGAGGACACCCCCAAGTTCGCAAATAACATTGCTGTTCAGATCCCATTGGCCATGCTTAGTCATGTGGCCATGTTATCTACAAAGAAGCTAGGAAATCAATCTTGCACTTAGTTAAATTGAGAACATTTACTCATAGAGAAAGAGGAAGAATATCTAGTGCCTGCCAGAGTCCCCATGTATCCACCATCTATTGAGAGGCAACTGGACTCTGGCCAGGATTTTAAAAAAAGGTTTATTTTATTTATGCATACAAGAACTGGAGCGTAGGCCAGAGTGTGTGGAGGGGTCGTGGAGGTGAGCGGATTCACCAGAGACAGAGTGGCGAGTGGAATACACTGCTGAGGGGAGCAGTGAGCGAGACAGGAGAGGTCTGCTGCGCCCTGTGGGTCAGCTCCCTGGCCACCAGGGAAGCTGCAGTGGCTGTGATAGCTTCATAGTGCTGAGATTTAACCTCCTGAGCCACCAGGGAAACCCTGCCCAGAATGTTTTCATCGTCGTTTTACATTGTGGAAATAGACTTGGAGAAAATGCGCAGTGCTTCCCAAGGTCTCAGGCAAGTCAATGCTAGAGGGTGAATCTTAATCAGAGTCATCTGACCCCCAATCAGGTTTTCATGTCGAGCCAACATCTTTTAGTTATCAGGGTGCCCACTGCTGACTGAGAGGTGAGAATATTCACACGACTAACTTAACACACAACCTGCATAAACACCAGCAAGTCCACCCCGAACTGCGCTCCCAGAACATGCAATCAGGGAAAGCTTTCTTAAGGAGGAGCCCTGCTACCAGCACTTCGGGGTGAGCAGGTCGAGGGTGGAAGGGAAGACGGAGAACTGGAGAAGGCAGTGGTGTGAGCCGAGGCTACTCTGCTTCTGACTCAACCTCCAAAGGCGCCCTGAGCACAAGAGGGTGTGGCATCCCAGGCTGAGGCGTCAGCTCTCTCAGGATGGGCCGCTTGATCCTTGCACCATTTGAGGCATCCCTTCATGAGTGCCTTAGAAATCCCATCACGTGGCACCAGACAGGCTAGGCCACGGAGATCCCACGGAAGGAGAGCTGCATTCACTGGGCTGGTCCAGGACGCACGTGGGAAGGCAAAGTCCCTCCCCTGCTCGGTCTCCTCCACCCTCCCACAGACAGAGCAGGAGCTTGAGGGATGATGAGAAATATGTTCAGTGAATTCAGCAAGAAACCTGGTATCCCTTAGGAGCATCTACTCCAGGCCAGGGCCTGGGAAGGAAGAGATTGGCCGGAGGGAGTGGCAGGGAGGGGTGAGAGAGGAGTGCTGGAGCAGCTGGGTCAGCATTCCTGAATTGGACACTGACTCAGGCCCCAGGAATGCCAAGGAAGGGGGGTGGGATCCCAGAGCCAGGCTGGGATCCTGTTGGCACCAGGACATGTAGGAACAACACACAGCAGAAGGAGGGGACCAGCGTCCCTGCACCCAGACCTACCTCCCAAGCTCAGGTAGAAACAGGTGTCTCTCACCCTGTGGCCAGGTAGAGCCCCCTCAGTCCCACTACACACCTCAAGGTGATCCTGAGAGCTCCCACATGCCCAAACCACCCCACTCCACCTCCTCCCCCAGAGAGAGGAGACTTTGGGGCCAAAAAGGAAGCTTTGGACACCCTGGCCACTCCGAGCACCACCTGCGAGCCCCTTCTGCCTGTCTCCCACGGACTGTCCTTCCCAACTCCAGCCCCACCTTACTGAGGTCTGTAGAAGGAAGAAAGTGAAGCTCCTCTACCTTTCCCCCTTCGGTGTCTGACCAAGATGAAAGAGGCCAAAGAGTAGGAGCCCAGCACACTGAGAGCCCACCTGCCCCCTCTTCCCCCACCCCATCCGGGTGTTCCCTCCGCCCTTACAGCAGGGTTCCGGGTTTGGCCTCAGAGACGCTGGAGGTGACAAGGACGAGCAATCTAGATTCCAGGTGTGCCCCTTCCCTCCCACCCCGCCCCCACCCAGCAGGGCTGAAGCAGCTGAGGGTGGAGGGGGGACCCTCCCTCTCTGCTGCCTGACACCCAATCAGAGAGAAACTGATCCGAGGCAGCGGGCAGGGGCCAGAAGCCAGGCCCAGAATAGTGCTGTCCAGCCACAGTGTCTTGCTCTCTGTTGGTCCAGGCTGGCCGCATGGAGCCCGAACTGGAGAGCGCGCTGCCCACGGTACAGGGATCCGGCCGGCTGGGAGCCCCGGCGCAGACGGGGAGGGCTGAGAGCAGCCGTGGGAATGCGTGTGATGTGCGTGTGCGCGGCTCGGCGCGCGTGGGAATTCTGGCTGCGCGGGCGCGCATCTGTGTACGTGTGTGGAAGTGAGCAGATGGGATTCGGTGTACGTGTGTCTGGGTGTGTGTTTACGCGTCTGTGGGTGGGAGTTCGCGTGTGTTTGTAGGGGGTTTTGAGCGTCTACTTGTGGGGAGGTGCAGGTGTGTGCATGCGCCCTGAGGGAACGAGAAGGCTTGTGGTTTGGGAGCACAGGGTGTTTACCCCCCACCCCTTCAGACATGTTTTTCCGCACAGACCCAACCCTGGAGCAGCCTTGGGGGCCGCCAGCATCAAGGTGAGTGGGGTTTCCCCCCCATGGGCCTAGCCTCCGCTCCCAATTTCTTTGTCCGCTCCTCTGTGGGCCCCACTAAGGCCACCAGTCTCGCTTTTGCCTTTCTTCCCCTTTCCTTCTTTGTTCTTCATTTCTTTCTCCTCCATACCCTTACCTCCAGTTTCCTCTCTTGGAAGAAAGACTTGGCTAAATCTTGAACCCCAGTCCCGACTTTACTTTTTACTAGCTGTGTGATTTTTGGCAAATTGCTCTCTGGTTTCAGGTCCCTCATTAGTAAAGTAGGTCTGATAATAATGTCTCCCCTTCTAAGAGTGCTATGAGGTTTGAATGAGAAATATGCTGGAGAAAAACCCTTTGGAAGCTTGCAAGTATTATATATTATTATTAATAACATTTCATTGACTTTGCTGGATGAATCCCTATTAACCAAACAGACCCCCTTCACCTTTGCAGAGATGAACTTCCTCGAGCAAAGAAATAGCAATTCGTGGCCATCTCTGGCCGTAGCCACCAGTTCAGAAAGAAGCCAGGGGAGACGGGGGCCCAAGGCCTTGAGGTGGACAAGGCAAGAGGCTATGGAGGAGGAAGACCTGCCACGCCAGGAGGAAGGTGAGGCCAGGTACTATTCTGGGGGGTGGGGGTGGACCCAGGAGGACGCCCCAGAACCTGGGACCCGCACTTAGTCCCTTGAGGTCTCCGCAACACAGAGGACCAACATTCACCTCATAGCCTCCTTCTCCCCGCCGGGCAGAAGGCAATAGCCTTGCAGATGTAGAGGTCCAGCTTGCCAACTCAGTAAAAAGGGACAGAGCACGATCTTGAGGGGCCCTCCGGTGGGGGCCACGGTGAGAATAAACTGACAGTGGATGAGAAAGTGCCTTTGGAAGATGAGTTACTGTGCTCTCCCTCCACACAGGTCCCCCATCCAGGCCAGCTGCTGAGTCCACCAGGCTGGAGGCCACATTCCCCAAGACCACACCCTTGGCACAAGCTGCCCCCACAGCCGGGGTGGGCACCCCACCAACAGAGTGGGACTTCCTCCCTCCTGACTGTGCAGCCTCAGCTGCTGGCGCCAGCACCCATAATCTGGGACTGCGCCTAGAGTTCCCAGCCACGGCAGCCTGGGGGTATGAGCTGGAGAGCTTGGCAGCAGAGAGGCCTGGCCCATGCCCATCGCCACTGGCCCCGTTACCCAGACTGGGCTGGGATGATGAGCTGCAGAAGCCGGAGGCCCAGGTCTACATGCACTTCATGCAGGAACACACCTGCTACGACGCCATGGCCACCAGCTCCAAGCTGGTCATCTTCGACACCACGCTGGAGGTGAGCCCCGGCTCGGCAGCACCCCCAGCAGCCGCCAGCCCCACCCGCTCCCAGATGTCCTGCCTGGGCCGCCTCTAGCACCATGGAGGCCCGTGCGGGAAGCCTCTACTCTCCGAGCCCCCTTCGTAGTCATCACAGCCCCCGGTGTCTGAGGCGTGTGGGTTGGTCTCTCTCGCTCATCTTTAAAATGGGCATAAGATGCCTCCTTCGCCCTACAGATTGCAGCAGAGTGTAGGGACAACCCCGGATAGGTAGGAACACCTTACAATCCCGAAGTATGGAGGAGACATTGCAGCGCCACTTAAAACAAAGAGCACTGGACCCCCCCATAACAGAAACACCGGGTGAGCCCTGGCACCTCTTCGCCACTAGCCCACGCCATGACTGAGCTCACAATGGCGGGTAGAGCAGCGTTTCCCGAAGCGTGGTTAGGGATCTGACTCTGGTCCTGTGTGAACAAATGTATTCATTTCAGTGGCTTTGCATCTATTGCAATAGAAATCTGAGACCAGAATGTAGGGGTAGTATTGTTTAAAAGAGGCCAAAATGAGCCCATGTAAAGTTTATTTAGAGAAAAATATTTCCTGTTTTTTTTTTTTTTAAAGATTTATTTATGTATACGAGAACTGGGATACAGGCCAGAGGTGCGGGGATGGGTTGGGGGGTGGGGGTGAGAGGATTCCCCAGAGACAGAGCAGAACAGGCAGATCGACCGAAATACTCTGCTGAAGGGAGCAGCGGGCGGGTCAGGAGAGGCCCGCTGTGCCGCGTGGGTCAGCTCCCTGGCCTGAATAGAACTTGTGCTGAGTGGCTGCAATAGCTTCATAGTGCTGCACTTTAACCCCTTGTGCCACCAGGGAGGGCCCCAAGAGAAAAATATGTCTTAATTATGCAAATAGTCATCTCTGTACTTAGATGAACAAAAACTGTCTGTTACCTGAACTTGTTTCCAAGTCGTGGCACTGGGCTGTTTCCACACACTGAGGGGCGGGCCACAGTGTTACCTACGCAGCAAGTGAGCCCAGCGAGGCCTGGGTCCTGCCTGTGCCACACCGTGAGAAAGCAGGTAAAAGCCTGTAGACGAGGCCCCGTGGAGGGGCGTGGCTCGCCCTCTGCTCTTCTCCCCCTCAGATCAAGAAGGCCTTCTTTGCCATGGTGGCCAATGGTGTCCGGGCGGCCCCGCTGTGGGACAGCAAGAAGCAGAGCTTTGTGGGTGAGGAGGGGCCGGGAGGTGAAGGTAGTGGGGCGTGGAGAAGAGGGGATGCTGGGCCAATTCTGAAGCAGCCCCGGCTTGAGCAGACCCTCAGGCTGAGCGCCCATGGTTTGGGGGCCTCCTGCCCCAGTCTGCAGTGGCCAGCTGGTAGCGAATGGGGCTCCATTTCCCCACTCATGGAAGATTTGTGACCAGCTGGCCCCTCCCGGCACTGTACCCCAAGGTCCATGTGATGGGTGCTAAGGAGGTCAAGAGGAAAAGGAGGGGAGAAACAGGAGATGGAAATGGGGGACAGGGTGAGAAATGCACGGGGAAGCAGAAAAGGCGTAACTCACGTCCTCAGCCCGGGACGGGCTGCCCCGTCCCCTTCCCCAGCCTCGCTGATGTCTCTGTCCTAGACCTTGGTGGGTGGGGCTGGGGTCTGAGCACTAGAGATCCCAGGCTGACCCCGCAGTCTCTCCCCCCACCCCCCACAGGGATGCTGACCATAACAGACTTCATCCTGGTGCTGCAGCGCTACTACAGATCCCCCCTGGTGAGGAGTGGGGGGGCCCTGGGGCATCGGTGTGGCCTGGGGTGGAAGGAATCTGGAGGAGCCTGGTGCCGAGGGGCCCACACCTGACTTCTGGAGCCCTGTGTATGTCCTTAGGTCCAGATCTATGAGATTGAAGAGCATAAGATTGAGACCTGGAGGGGTGAGTAGGCAGAGGGGTGGAGGAAAGGGGCTGAGGGCACCGGGCAAGTATGGAGCCGAGGCTCTGAGGCAGAGGTAGAGGCCAGTAGATGTCCTGGAGGAAGAGGGAAGCGTGGTGGGCAGCTAGGGGCCCGAGGGAAGGACCTGTCTCGGGGCTGCTGGGCAAGGCCAGGTGCCCAGCGCTCGTGGCCTCACTGGCTTCTTCTGCAGAGATCTACCTTCAGGGCTGCTTCAAGCCTCTTGTCTCCATCTCTCCCAACGACAGGTGAGCGCTGCCAGCCTCCAGCCTCAGCCTGCTTGCCCTGCACAATCCCCATCCCCTACCCCTGGTTCTGGGTGGCCCCTGCTCCCTGGCTGGGAGAGGGTGTATGTCCCCACGTTGCCCACGCTCCCTGCTCGCGCCTCTGCAGCCTCTTTGAAGCTGTCTACAGCCTCATCAAAAACCGGATCCACCGCCTGCCAGTGCTGGACCCTGTCTCGGGCGCTGTGCTTTACATCCTCACACACAAGCGGCTGCTGAAGTTTTTGCACATCTTTGTGAGCCTGGGTGCAGCCCCGGGGGGTGGCCAGAGGGGCTGAGACATCTTCAGCGTCTCCGCTGGGAACTCCGTGTACTGCCCCCACTGATCACCTGTCCCCAACCCAACCAGGGTGCCCTGTTGCCCCGGCCCTCCTTCCTCTCCCGTACCATTCAAGATTTGGGCATCGGCACATTCCGAGACTTGGCTGTGGTGCTGGAGACAGCCCCTGTCCTCAGTGCACTGGACATCTTTGTGGATCGACGCGTGTCTGCGCTGCCGGTGGTCAATGAAGCTGGTACCCACCCCCGGGACGGGCGCCTTGCGGGTGGAGGAGGGGAGCAGGGATCTCAGGGCACCGGCAGGGGCCAAGGGTGGCATCAGGGAGAGAAGGCGCTCAGCTGCTTAGCCCCTCTGTGCCTTCCTTTCCCCATTAATGAAGTGGGAATCTTCACAACGCCCACCCTTCTAGCTTCACAGGATGACCTAAGATGCTTTGTGCCATTAAATGGGTGTGATTAGAGAGAGAGTCAGAAGATGCTTACCTAAGATGCTTACCTTTTTATTTATTTTAAGTTTATTTTTACATCATTTTGTACTTTTTTTTTTCATCTCAATTGTAATCCCCGCAGGTTTCCCATCACCAAGTCACCCGTGTGTCATCACCATAGTCCCGTGCACTTCGCTTACTCTTTTTTTTTTTTAAGGTTTACTTGTTTATGCATATAGAACTGGGGTACAGGCCAGAGGTACAGGGGTGATGAAAGGATTCACCAGACACAGAGTGCAGAGCAGGACAGGCCAACTGAGAAGTCCACTGCTGAGGGGAGCAGCAGGCAAGACAGGAGAGGTCTGCCGCGCCATGTGGGTCACCTCCCTGGATGGGGATCGAACCTGTGCTGAAGCTGCTGTGGCCAGCTTCTTAGTGTTGTGCTTTAACCTGTTGCGCCACCAGGGAGGGCCCAGAAGGTGTTTACTTTTAGTTCATTCTTAAAATGGGCATTGGTAGGGTGCGTCTCCAGTCAAGCCACAAGTTCCTGCTCTGAAAATAAGAGAGAATTCAAGGTCATGTCTCTCCTTGATCTATGGCTGAATCTTTTCCAAAGCTAAAATTCATGATGAAGCTGGAGCACAGGACTGTTTTAATTTCTTTTTGATTGTGAAAACTTCCAATTCTACAAGAATAATAGAAAAAGTCTATCTATTGCCTGGCTTAACTACTGTTAACATATTACATAACCAGTTCTTTCTTTTTTCTGAAGCAATTTAAGTGACAGGCTCATTTTACCTCTTAACACTCCAGTCTGCATCTCTCAAAAGGTCTTCCTTACATCACCTCACAGAACTCAGCATAACCTTGAGGTTACCTAGTATCTAATCTGTACTCTCATTCCTTCAGAGCCCCCAAGAATATCCCTTTTTTACACTAGACTGTTCAAGCCAGAATCCAGTTAGGGGCCATCCTTCCTATTTGCTCCTTTTATCCTCTGAGTTCCCAAGTTAGAGGAGTTCTCTCCCTAGTTTACTCTCGCGACACTGGTAAGTGAACATACTTGGGTGAGCTGTCCCAGAGAACGTCCTACCTCCGGATTTGTCTATTTGCTTTCTACAGGTGGCCTTTCTCGTGTCCCTCTACTCCTGTGCCTGTAAACCAGAAATTCAAGCTAAAGGCTTGATCAGACTCAGGCTATCCAGTTGAGGCTAGAACATTTCATAGGTGAAGACACAGCAATGACATCAGCTCCCCTCCTCCCCATGCTGCCCATTGTTCTGCCTCTAGTCTCAGGAAATGGCCACCTGATGCCTCATTATAAAGCCACGTGCATGGGCAATCGGGGGTAGACTGTGTGAAGGAGTTTATTCCAGTATCCTGCCCCAGACGCCCTTGTTCCAGAATCAGGTGTCCGGTTCTGATGGGAACCTCCTCCTTGTCTTTCTCTCACCCTTCCACCCCTGTAGGTCAGGTCGTGGGCCTCTACTCCCGCTTTGATGTGATTGTAAGTGTCCATGGAGGGGATGGAGGGACGCTGGTGGTGCCACAGGGACACTATTGGTATAAGAAGCAATGGTGGGGGGATCTCTGGATCGGGGGGGTCTTCACATGCAAGAGGCAATATCTGAGGGAGTGGAGGCTGGAGGCGAGCATGCCTAAGAGTGGAACTTCCCACCCACCCCAGCACCTGGCTGCCCAGCAAACTTACAACCACCTAGACATGAGCGTGGGAGAAGCGCTGAGGCAGAGGACACTGTGTCTGGAGGGAGTCCTGTCCTGCCAGCCCCACGAAAGTCTGGGGGAAGTCATCGACCGGATTGCCCGTGAGCAGGTACCCCCGCCCTTCTGTACCTACTTCCAGGGCATTCGGCCCAGTTTTTCGTGGGAGCAGCTCCGGTCACCCCTCTACAGCAGGCTTCTGCCTGGTGCTCCCATTTCATGGCCAAACTCTTGACATCCACACTGGTCCTGTCCACGGGCCAGCTGGTCACCCTGAGGGGTCAGAGCCATCCCTAATGCTGTCTGGATCCAGTCACAACTTTGCCCCACGGCTCTGCCCCTCACTGACCCTCTGTGTGCCCACAGGTCCACCGGCTGGTGTTAGTGGACGAGACCCAGCATCTCCTGGGCGTGGTGTCCCTCTCTGACATCCTCCAGGCTCTGGTGCTCAGCCCTGCTGGCATCAGCGCCCTCAGTGCCTGAGCATATCCAAGTCCTCACTCCCAGGGCACCTTCCACGCCCGGAAGTCAATGAAGGGCGCAGGAGAACTCAACCTTCTTCTTCCTCCACTGTTGTTTGCTGGTTCAGCTCAGAATCAGGTAGGCTCTGCCCTGAGCCACTGACCCCAGTGCCAGCCCCTCGAGGTCCCCCTGGGCTCCTAGATCTCCGTCAGTTGGGCTCTGCTGGTGACCACGGCCCCACCCGCAGCTGAGCGGCCCTACAAAAACCTTGAGGACCCACCACTGGGCCACCAGTTTGTCTCATTCCAGCCCCCACTCGGGCCCCGGGGCTGGGCAGGGCTGAAGGAGAGGCATGGGCAGGGCGCGTCTTCATGCACTCTGGGGGTTTTGCAGCTCAGTCCCCACTAGCTTGGAATTCCGCAAGAAGGAAGCACTTAATAAACCCTTGTTGGGTGGAATTTCCATGTTTGGTAATAACTAAGGCTGGAAAAGGAGGGGTCTTCTGCAGCTAATGCACAGCTCAGCAATCGGACATCGTCTGGGCTCTTTCAGGCATTTGTTAGAGGGTTACAGACGAGTCGGGGACAGATTCCACCTGCTTGCAGGTAGATGATGGGCAGGTTTCCTTGGTGGAAAGGGCCTCCCCTGTGCATGTCTCCACCATCTCTTCTCTCTTCCTCACAGGCTTCTCCAGCCCTCCCTAGTTGCTTTGTCCTGCCTGTGCTCCCCACAGCCCCAGGAATGCCCAGTGCACCAAGGGATGATGGAATTAAGGAGAACCGCTGAGTCAAGCCTGGAGAGCTTAGCCAGAGGCACTGGGGTTCCCCTAGGGTCAACTGCTGAATGCTCTCCCATCTAGCTTTCCCCCCACCTGGGTCATGACTGGCCCAGCAGCCCAGCATGAGCAGGGGCTCTGGATTCCTCACTCTGGACCGCCTGCCAGTCAGCCCCCCACTCCTGGGAGTCCTGTGCCCCTCCCCCACGTGGGGAACCGCACTGCCCCCCCTTTCCCAGGCATTGTCTGTCGCAGCAGGGCTGCCGGGGTCACCGTGGAGCAGCAGTTCTTTGCTAGCTGCACATGGGAGCAGACTGTGCCCTCGTCTTCCTTAGCTCTTGCCAGTGAACACTGTTCTCAGTCCTCAGCAATGACCCTGTATTCAGATCACTGAGGATGGACAATCAAGAAGACAAAACAGAACAACCCATGAACCTGGATCTTGTTTCACCTAGAAAATGCTCCAGTCACTTGATCTGAACTTGCGGCAAGGTCCCTAAGCTTTCTGACAAAGACACAAAGGTAAACCTGTAACTGACCGACATGCAAGTGGCATTTCTTTTGTGTATAGGCTGTGACTCCACCGACATTTCTTTTTCATCTTTTATTTATAACAAAACCAAAAAAGTTATTAACTCGCCTGCTCTTATCATCTCTAAACCTATCTGGGGTGTTTGTCATCACCAAGTCTTTTGGTGCAACTCCTTCCTCAGGAACCCCAGAAATGTCTACAGCCTCTTTGCCTCCCTCGCCCCCTGTAGAATATTTACCCAGTGCAAGAAGGGGCCTTTATTCTCTAACCTGTCATATATTCCTCCAAACTCACCTTATGTGTCCCGCGTTCTCGCCACCCATCTTGAGGGTTTGTAACCCCCAAGCCCAGACTTGACTCCTCCTGCGTCACCCTTCCCTGTGACCATGGACACTGCAGGTCCAGCTGTCCAGTAAGGAGAGGGAGGTTTCTATTTCTAAATTATGTTCTCACCCCATTTACCTCACAAAGCAATGCAGTGGAGACAGCAAAGCTCATTGCTCAGGCGGTAAATGAAGCCACTTCCTCGTTGATCCTCAGCTTCTGTTTCCAGTTTTGCAGTAACCCGCGGGCAGTGCTGGCTCTGCTCTGGTGCTATCTGGGAAGGATGGGTCTGGGTGCTCTCTTGGGAGGATGGGATGCAGGTGCTTGCTGGGTCTGTCTCAAGTGACAGGGTCCTTGGGGAGCTGAAGGCAGCCAGCCTCAACTGTGTGGTCAGGTCAGTCTCTCCCAAGGAGCCCCAGCACGCTCTGCAGGAGAGCACCTCAGAGGCCGCAGTGCAGACTCCATCCTCTCCTGCCTCCTGGTGTGTCCCCACAGTGAAGGGTCTGTACCCTCTGGGCCCACCATCCCCAGGGGCCTCAGTTCTCCCCTTGGACCTTTCTTTGAAGGACCACCCCACCCCTGTCTAGAGCCCTCTCTGACCACTGCCATCCCTGGGCTCCTGCACCAGGCCGCCACTGTCACAGCTGCTAGAAAGGGGATTGCAGCTGTCTCCACCCTGGCTCTGAAGCCAAGGCATGCCCTCCTGTGAACCGCACGCTGTCCCTGTGAGCCTGGGGATGGCCAAGTTTCCCAGGCATCCTTGCCCCCAGCTCCTCCTTCAACCTCCAAGGTCCTTCCGTGGTTCTGTGGCTTCCAGAATGGACCCCCAGACTGCTTAGCTTAACCTGACTCTCTCTCACAACACTCCTGGTGGTTCTCAGCCCTTGGATGTGCACCAGGAGGCAAATTCCAGGACCCATTCCCAAATGTACTGATTTTCTAACTTGGGTGTGGATCCTGGACACCTCTATTTATTTTCTACAGAAATTAGATTTATGAGCAGTCACACTTGATGAGCATGAATCATGCCTCAATGTCATGATTAGTAAACTTGTTGGTTACATTATCAGGTCTAACTACTCTTTCTAGCACTGGGAGCTTCAGGAAGCACTGGCTGAACAGTGGCACAGACAGGCAGTTTGTTAGTGTTCTCACTAGTCTTCTCCAAACCGCCTGCAGTAGAGAACAATACAGTGTATGTGCATCCCACGATGACAACTGCCAAGTTTTATTTGATAGGCACCTTAAAACTGGAATCATAAATAACAACCGGGTATAAACTCCTATTATCATGCCAGCATATAGTCACAGTTAAAACTTCGAAAGAACATGAAAGACAGACAGCACTGGTTAACTAACTATTGTTATTCCCAGGAATCCTGCACAGATGTTTAGGGAAACAAATCAGGTTTCTTAAAGTCTTACCCACATATGTACCTTCATTTGGCCAACAGGTTCAAGTCAGCAAGAACAGGAGTCAGGACATAGACACCTTGTTTTTAGTCAATGGTGTGGCCGCTGCACTGAGTAATGTCTACTCTCCTGCAGTTATCCTAAATCCTGTTGTTTTTCTTCCTTAGTAGAGTCAGCTTAGGTCAGGGAGCATCGTGGTGACCTCCCTACACTGTGGCTTAGCGGGGCAGCCTGGTCATAGATGGGCTGCGTGCCAACACTCAAACAGAGCTGATGCTTTTCACCCTCCTGCGAGAAAGTTGCCAAGAAAGGACTTGTGCTACAATATGGCATCCAACCTTTCACTGTTAAAGCAATTTTTTCATTTACATTAAATGTCTTTTCCAGGCATTGTGATGGAATATAAACAGCCATTTTCAAGTCCCCAGATAAGCCGAAGATGGCTAATATTTGCATTTTGCGGTACGCATATTTTCTCAATAAAATCTTTAAAAATTTAAACAAAAAGGACCTTGAGTCTAAAGAGAAACCATGCTTGTCATTTTTCTCTCTCGGGGACAGAAATCTTAGTTTCTCTTCTCCCCAGCCACTTCTGGAGGCAAGGTTCCATAATTGTGTTAATAAGTCTTCAGCTCTTAAATTTTGAAGAACCCAGTGTTCTCTTGCCACTGATGCCAAAAGCTTAGGGAGAATCCTCTGAGCTGTGCCTGCCCACTTAGAGTTTAGACCCTAACATGCACAGCTGGCCTTCCCATGGTGCCCTGGGAAGATTGCTTACGTCACCAGCTATTTCTCAATAATCTTACCAAACTTACCCTCGTAGATTTTTTTAAGTGAGATATAATTCACACACATCTTAAATTTTGTCTTTTCAAAGTATACAATTCAATGGTTCTTATTATATTCACAAAGCCATGCCCCATCACCCGTATCTTAATCCAAAACACACACATCACCACCAAGAAATTCGCTGGCCGTTCAGTCACTCCTCATTCTCCCTTCCTCCTACCTCCTATAATTGCAAATCTACTTTCTGTTGCTATGAACTTACCTATAGTGAACATTTCATATCAGTGGAATCATACCCTAGTGGTCTTTGGTGTGTCTGATTTAGTAAGCACAATGTTGTTGTTGTTTAACGATTTGTTTATTTATGCATATAGAACTGGGGTACAGGCCATAGGTCCAAGGGCAGTGAGAGGATTCACCAGAGACAGAGTGGGGAGCAGGACAGGCAGATCGACGAAGTACACTGCTGAGGGGAGCAGAGGGCAGGTCAGGAGAGGTCTGCTGTGCCCTGTGGGTCAGCTCCCAGGCCAGGGATAGAACTTGTGCTGACGCGGCTGCAGCTAGCTTCACAGTGCTGCACTTTAATCCAATGTACCACCAGGGAGGGCCCAGTAAGCCCTAATGATGTAGTAGGAGTCAGTACTCCATGCCTTTTTCATAGCTGAATAATATTCCAGGCTGTGGATATACATCAGTTGCTTAACTACATTTGGGTCAGCAATAGGCCACAAATACAGATAGTGTTTCCAAAAGGCTGTACTGAATAGCTTAAGTGTGTAACAGGTGATTCCACTGAAGTTTTTGTAATTTTTCTGTGTCATACCCACAACAAAATTGCCTCATGATGTGTTTCTCTGGATATATCCCACACGATTGTATAAGATATTCATGGATTCTTAAAAAAAGATTTTATTTATTTATTTTTCATAGAAGAACTAGGTTGTAGGCCAGAGTTGCAGGGAGTGAAAGGATTCACCAGAGACAGAGTGGGGAGCAGAACAGGTAGATCCACTGAAATACAGTGCTGAGGGGAGCAGCGGGTGAGATAGGAGAGGTCTGCTGCGCCCTGTGGGTCACACCCTGGCCGGGGATCGAACTCATACTGCTGCGGCTGCGAAGCTTAGTACTGTGCTTCAACCTGTTGCACCACCAGGGAGGGCCCCTGCGTACCCAGTTTTGAAGGAGTGGGGTATGGGGGGAGCACAAGTGGAAGGGTCCACACTTACCCAGAGAGCTCAGGAGAGGCTTTGAGAGGCAGTGACATCTGAGCTGTGCCCTAAGGAAATCAAGTTCTCTGGGGCAACTAAAGAGGAAGAGGCTGCTTCAAGGAGAGCAGACATTAAATACAAAGTACTGAGGCTGGCAAGAACATGATGTGTTCAGGGAAGTACAAGGAGTTTGGGTTCGGCTGTGGGAGGGTTTCTGGGGCGGGTTTGGGGCCTGGCTTCTAGATCATGGTGTCTTTGCTTCAAGGCTGAGGAAAGCCCCTGAAGGATTTTAGCAAGGTTAATGACATGATTAAAATTTTTTTACACCTTTCTTCATTTTGTGTATTTTTCCATCTCAATTGTTAACCTCCATGGACTTCCCACCACCACTTCACCCCTGTGCCATCACCACAGTCCTGCACACTCTTCCCCCCAGTTCTGAGTCTGTTCCCTTCTCCACCCTAGTAGAGTGTCTCTGGTTTATAGTTGTTGGTTGATTTTGTTTTTACTTTATTACACTTACTGTTTTGTTTTTTTTTTTCTTGGTTTCTTATGCTCCTGCTATGAGTGGAGTCACCCAGTATTTTTCTTTTTCTTTCTGGCTTATTTCACTAAGTGTGATCCCTCCCAGCTCCATCCATGTCCACACCTCACACCTGAAAAGTCCGTGAGTCCCAGCTCAGAGTTCCAACCTCAGCTGTAAATTTCTGTTAACTCATATAAAATCAAAGTCAAAGTTTTTTATATCTTGGGAATTTGAGCTTGAATATATAAAAAATATGTATTAAAAATCATTTTAAATATATTAAAAATCTTTAATATATTCAAACCCAAACTCCCACAGATATAAAAATTTGTCTTTCATTTTCTATGAGTCAGCAGAAATTTACAGCTGAGGTTGGGACTCTGAGCTGGGACTCACGGACTTTTCAGACATGGGCTCTCTGCACCAATCCACCTGCCTTCTAGTTAGTTTCCTGTATGGAACAGGCCACAGAGCTAATCACCGGGATCTCCCAGGCTCCCTTGCGGCAAGAGTTACAGGTGGAGTTGGTTTCCACCCCTCAGATAGATGTGAGCGATTTAGAAGGTGTCTTAGGCTGAGCCCTGCCCCTCCTCTGTCTGTCGTAAGGGGCAGTTGGGGAGGCATTAGCCCAGGGCTCCAAATTCAGCTAGTACTGGCAGGCGGGAGCTTTTTTTTTTTTTTTTTTTTTGTTTTTTTTTTTTTTTGGTCAACAAACACAGAGACAGGGAATAGCTCCAGATCAGTCGTTACAGCGATTGACTCTCAACCCTCCTGAGCAGGGCCAACACAGTACCTCCAGGAGAGGCGCCAGGAGTCATTTCTGTAGGCCTCACCTAGAGTGCCTCCTCACTGCCTATAGTTAAGCACTTTCTGTTGGAAGGAGGGTACCATGCTCCATGTCCGGAAACCCCATTTCCTGCCCCAGGGGCCTCTGTCACTGCAGGTAAAGCTAAGACCTCTCTGTGTAGTCTGGGGGATAGAGGGTGTCCTCGGTTCCCAAGGAGAGAGTTAGTTGACTCTCTCCTACCAAGATTCTGAGATTGGAGGAAGATGTTCCCTCAACACAGAAGAGGATGCAAATCTCGGTCATCAAAAAGAATGACAAAGGTTTCCAATGATCCATAAAAGTCCCTTTATTCTGTCTTTCCCCAAGGATGGCATGTGATAAGGGGGTGGCTGTTTATCTGAGAGGGTGATGCTCAAACTGATCAAGGCAGCAAATCTCAGAGTCCTGTGGGGAGCACTGGGTTGCTGCAACCTTCTCTCCCCCTCATCTGGGACACAGCAGTGGCCAGGAATTAGCGCACCTCAGGGACAAATCCCAGGAAAGCAAGGGCTCAGCACTGTCTCTGCAAGAAACGCAGGCCCACCTTCTTATTCGGCACCAGGACAATGCGGGCTAGGTCCTTCACCTCTCCCGTCTCAGGGGCCAGGACCACCTCATACTGCTGGATCAGCTGGAAGGTGAGATGCGCGCAGGAAGTGAGTGTCTGCCATCCCGGTGCATGACCTCTTCTACGTACCCCCAAGGGGAGACTCCCTCCCTCCCTCCCAAGGCCTCCTCCACCCCTCTCTGGCCCCCCACACCCTCCTGTCTTTCCCCACTCACTCTGGACAGCAGCAGGTGCATCTCCAGCTCTGCAAGCCTCCGGCCCATGCAAGCCCGGACTCCGTAGCCGAAGGGCACAGATCCAAACGCATGTTGGCTCTTGAGGGAGTCAGACTCACTCTTCCTCAGCCAGCGGTGGGGCTGGAAGCTCTCTGGCTCTGGGAAGACGCTAGAATCCCGAGACACTGCAAAGTGGCACAGCACAAACTGGGTCTGGAGAGGAGAAATGAACAGGACCTCAATGTAGGGCTCTGGGGAACCCCTGGGAACCCCGCTTTCAAGCTCCACTCACGTTCTTGGGGCAAATGAAACCACCAACTTCAATCTCTTTTTCCGTAATGACCCGGGAGTTGACGGGGACCACAGGGTAGAGCCTTCAGGGAAAGGAAAATGTCCTCTGCCTCTCGTCCGTGGAGAGACAGAGTGCCCGCTCCCTCAGCCCTCCAGTGCTCCTTCCCATCTCACCCGGCCCCAGCCCCAGTCCACCAGCCTCCCTGGGCGAATCCTCCCGGGGAGAATTCAGTAGTCTCCCACACACAGACACTTGGCTCCCAGGAACTCCATCCTACCGCAAGGTCTCTTTAATCACAGCTTTTAGCAGTGGCATATGGGCAAAGTCCTTGTGCTGGGGCACTTTTCCAGCTGGCACCACGCTCACCACCTCCTTGTACAAGGCTGCTTGGATCTCTGGATGCTTGGAAAGGTGGTACAGGGCCCAGGTCATGGTATTGGAAGTCTGGAAGGTAGAGTAAGAGATGAAATGAGGGATTCCTAGCAAAGGGGCCAGCTAGGTAGGGGGTAGGTACATGAGGGACTGCACACAATGTGTGGGAGAATCATTCGCCAAGAGTAGGACAGGATATGAACCGGGGTTCATAGGCCCTCCAGGCTGCCTCCACTGTGGGATGAGAACCAATATGATTAAGATGCTCCAGCAACAAAGGACAGTAACAGAGAAACCCAGCTGGACAAAAGGATCTCCAAAAGTCCTTTGGAGAACTGGTGGTGAGCAAGCTCTTCAATGCCCTTAAATACAGGAAGAAAGTGTAGGATTAGATGTGACATGAAGCTTCCCAGCTGCCCAAGAGGCTCCAGGACGTGGTGGATCCCTGTTACCAAAGTGCCAGCCCCCGCCCTCCTCGGCCAGGCTGAATGATCCCGTTTCCCTTCAAGTTCTACCTCCATGCTACAGAAGGGCAAAGGTCAGGATCAGTTGGGGGGTAATGAGAAACTGGTTCAGGATGGGAGCTGGGAACTCCTGTCTCCTCAACATCTCCCCTGCTCCCCACTCACACACCGTGTCTACTCCGGCCAGGAGCAGCTCAGGCAGGGCGCCCAAGGCTTCGTGAGGACTGAGCTGTCCACTGCTCAGCAGGAAGTGCAGGTAGCCAGATAGCTGGATGCCCTCTGGCCCTTTTGTCTTGAGCTGGGCCTCCATCTCCTTGAGTTTCTCATCAATCAGCTTCTTCCCTACATGGGCCCGTAGAGAAAGGCAGACGACAAGGTCAAAAGGCACATGCCTTCAAGGACCAGCAGGCACGAAGGAGAAAGGCCTAGGGGTGACCGCCCATGTACAGACACTAAGACCCACACTCCAGTTGCCTTCTTTGGAGACCTCACCAAAAGAGAAGATGTTGTTCCAGCCATCCAAGTATCGGTTCCAGAAAGGCAACAGAGGACGTGTCCATTTGGGGAGGAAAGTGACATAGACTGAGTTCTGGAACATGCGCTCAACCGACTTGATGAAGGACAAAGTGTCCTGGGGAATGGAGCGTTGCAGGCAGCCAACACGTTTCTCAAACAGGATGTAGCAAATAGCTGGCGGGGAGCAGAGACCATCACAGAAGCAGAGCCGTGGCATACCGGATTTTGAGGAGGGGGAACACAACCCCAGGCTTGACCCATGCCCCCACCCCTTGCCCTGCTAGTACCTTCTAAGGCAAAGTTGTAGAGTTGGTGAGCCATGTCGGACACCTGGTCCCCCGAGGCACTCTCTGCCCTTACATGTTTCAGTTTCACCATGAAGTCGTCGATCACCTCATTCACTGCATTTGTGTAGAGTGCAGCCTCCGTTGGCTTCAGCATCCGCTGGTTCAGAACCTGGCGCAGCCGGTACCAACTGTGCCCTTCCCTGGAGGAATGGAGGAGAGGCACAGATGTAAGAATCTGGTGGGGGTTAGATTAGGTGGCACCTTCCGCCCTGGGACAGAGTCTAGGAAAATCTACTCTTAGATATGCAATTATGGAATTGCCAAACGTTCGAATGACAGAATCTTTGAATCCTAACACCAGAATCTCACTTCAGTAGAGTGGAAGTGGTTGAGGTGGGCATCTAGACTAAGACTGCCCAGGGCCAAGTCATGGGTCTGATGATTCCTGGCTGAGCGACCTTTGGCAGGTGGCCCAACTCCTCTATGCTTGACATGGTAAGTGACTAATCTTAGTAAGGTTGTTCAGGTAATTAAAGAGCTTAGATCAGTGCATTGCACAGGGTGAATGCTTAACAAATGCTGACTGAGGTTATGGAATCAGACAGCTGCAGAATCTATCATGCATGAGATGAGGAGCTGAAGTCCTCCAGTACGTCTGTGTGAAGAATGAGGACGAAACAAGGAGCAAACTTGGGTTCCTGAGATGCCGAGATTCTGGTCTGCTTCATGGTCTCTTGGCTCAGTGGGCTAAGGGGAGAGGGAAACACCACCCCCCCGGGCTACTTCCAAGGCCGCGTGGCCACAGCCATCCAGCAGGTGACTAAGCCCCCAGCCCAGTCAGTGTGGGATGCGCTCATGAGTAGGTGGCCCATGAGTGATGGGGTGCTTAATATTTGGGTTACTCCACTCTCAACTGTTCCCAAATCTGTTACCTTTTCTAAGCTGGGAATGAATAATTAAAAAAAAAAGTTGTAAAGTAATAAGTACAGTGTGGTCCAATTTTAAGAGGAGGAGGGGAGACACCATATATCAATACGTATATTTGAATGTTTCTACATAAAGTAGGGAGGAAACACACCACATTGTCACACCTAGAAGGCACCAGGGTAGAAACACTCTATATTCCAAGAAGTATTACTTTGTTAAATGAAAAATAGGGCCTCATTTGTGGTGCAAGGGGTTAAGTCTCAGCACTATGATGCTATCAGCAGCCACTACAGCATGAGTTGGTCCCCGGCCTGGGAGCTGACCCACATGGCGCAATAGAACTCTCCTGTCTCCCCTGATGCTCCCCTCAGCAATGTGTTTCCATAGATCAGCCTGCTCCCCACTTTGCCTCTGGTGAATCCTTTCACACCCCACCCCACGTCTGCCACACCTCTGGCCTACACCCCAGTTCTTGTATGCATAAATAAATCTTTTAAAAAATAAAATGAAAAATAATACAGTATTTTTAAAAGAAATGTATTTAAAAATCTTAAAGCAAAAATCAGGCTTTTTGTTTTAAAAAAGTGTTTTTTTAAAAAGATTTATTTACTTATTCATACAGAACTGGGGTATAGGCCAGAGATGGGAAGGGTGAGAGAACCCACCAGAGACAGAGTGGGGAGCAGAACAGGCAGATCGATGAAGTACACTGCTGAGGGGAGCAGCGGGTGGGTCAGGAGAGG